AACTGTATTAATTATCACCTGATAAATGCAAAATAAATTTCATAGTTTTCAGTTTAATTGTTTATTTATTTAAGAGCTTCCTGACAAGTCTACAAAGAAGTTAGAAGATGACTAAAGGAGAGATAGGAATCTTTTTGTTCTGAAACCCAGAGATTGTTGATAGAGTACATGTTGGCAATAGACATATCGATATATAAAGTGGAATGTGTCCAGCCAACACAATCAATAATGAATACATTTTTATCACAATTTATCTCATTACCAATTTTAAAATCCTTATTTTTATATGTTAATAGTTTTCACTTGTGCCATTCATTAAGAAGATATGTCAGGCCGGCTATGATGGCTCATATCTATAATCCCAGCACCATGGGAGGGTGAGGCAGAAGGATTGCTTGAGACCATGTGTTCAAGATTAGACTGGGCAACATAGTGAGACCCCTTTCTCTACAAAAAATGAAAGATTAGCTGGACTTGGTGGCATGCATCTATAGCCCTAGCTACTCTGGAGGCTGAGGTGGGATGATTATTTGAGCCCAGGAATTTGAGGTTACAATGTAGCTATGATCATGCCACTGCACTCCAGCCTGGGCAACAGAGCAAGACCCTGTCTCTTCAAAAAAAAAGAAGGTATGTCAAAAGATATGTTCATAATTTGTGAACTTGATGATTTTGATAAATAACCAGATAAAATACTTTTTTTAGTGTGATAATTACAGTTAGGTTCCTGTCTAGTTTTTGTATTGATACTCTCAAAGTTTTGTGGTTATAAATTTAGTTTTTTTTCAAAATCTGGCATTATATAGATATCAAATACTGATTAATTTAAAAACTGATTTTTAAATGCTGCTGATGAGAAATATTATTAGAAATAGTTATTCTGCTCTTGGGAAAACTTGCCTGTGGTAGACTTTCAGTTGATATTTGTTAAATGGTTGAAAACTTGATAGGACAATAATTGTAATAATGCATTCCAAATTATTGATTTAATTTTATTTTTAAAAATTTTTTTCACTTTTTTCTTTCTTTATATTTAAGTTTTTTTATTTTTTTTTCTTTTTTTCTTTTTTTTGAGTCAGGCTTGTGTCCATGTCTTTAGACCAAATTATTGATTTAATTTTAATTTGTCTATATTAGCAAATTTTCTCTCTAACATCTGTATCCTATGGGTAGTATTAATAACATGCATATAGAAAAGACTCACTGTGTAGTGAGATGCCATAGACATTTCTAATAATTACCTATTTATGAAAAAATAGAGAGAAAAATAGTCTTTTGGTATTTAGATGTTATCTGTATTTGGTTAGATTTTTAAACTTCACTTTCTTAGTTTTATAACATATTTCATATTGTAACAAAGAAAAAATTTAAAAACCTCTGGCATTTTAGCACCATGTTTTTAATTAAAATGCAAAGACTATTATTCTCTTATAATGCTGGGTAGGTGTGTTTGTTAGACCACAAACTCTCTAAGCACAGGAATCTTGTGCTATTTGTCTTTGTATCCCCAGTACCTGGGGCAGGAGTTCAGTAAATGTATGTATATGAATATATTACTGTTTAGATAAATGGATGAAAAGAACAGAGCAAAATAGGACATATAAAGATTTTCACTTACTTGTTTTAGGACATTTGCTTTTTTGCAAACATGTTGTATTTATTGTCTTTGGAGAGTAAAATAGTCTGAAGCTCAAGAGGCAGTTTTTTATGATCTAATCAATCAAATAAAGAGAAATGAAGACCTAAATTCCAGTTTTACACATTTGACTTGCTCTTCAACTTTAGTCAGAGTTCTTTATATCCCCATCCACAAAATGGCCAAGTTAGTTATGTTACTATGAAGTTTTGAGGACATGTGAATGAATGAATGTGAAGAACTATACATTATAACAAAAATATTGTGGACATTTAAGATAAATATAGTGCTATGTAAAAAGAAGATATAGGAAATGTTCTTTTATCTATGGTTCTCTAAACACTATTATTGTACTTACAGTTTGGGATTTGTATCTTTTAATTAATCAAGAAATTTGGTCCAGTTTAGTTGTATATGTGTGGATGTATGTGCATGTATGTGTGTGTGTGTGTATGTGTGTGTGTGTGTGTGTAAATTTTGATTTTGCTTTCATGTCAGGATTTCTCATTTGTTTCCAGCAGTCACAGATAACATAACTTCACAGGAAGTTTAGAATAATTGTTTAGATTTATGGTCTTGTAAAGCTAGATTTTTTTAAATAGAAAACATACACAATAGAAACTTTTGAGAAACAATGGTGATATAGCACCTCTTGTATATTCCTGGATAGAGCTGGAACCCATTCTACTAAGTGAAGTATCTCAAGAATGGAAAAACAAGCACCACATGTACTCACCAGCAAATTGGTATTAACAGATCAACACCTAAGTGGACATATAGGAATAACATTTATCGGGTGTCAGGAGGTGGAAGGGGGGAAGGGGGATGGGTATATACAAACACAATGAGTAAGATGTGCAACGTTTGGGGGATGGACATGCTTGAAGCTCTGACTTGAGGGGGGGGTGGGCAATATATGTAACCTTAACACTTGTACCCCCATAATATGCTAAAATAAAAAAAATCCTTTTGACAATAGAGAAAAATAAATATTGCCTATCCCAACCTTCTGCAAAGGATCTGGAAACAATTATAGCCCTAAGATATTTACTTTTTCAGGTCCCATTTTTAGCTTTAAAATTCATGGAATATTTTTAGGAGATAGATATATTCATTATCTTGACTGTGATATTGATATGAGTGTATACATATGTCAAAACACATGAAGTTATACCATTTATTGTATGTCATGAGCTAAAAAACATTTCTACAATTTTATTCTCTTACAATTTTAGCATTAAAAAGTTTTATGCTCATAAAATAATGAGTGAACTGTAATTATACAAACCAACATAGATTAATTTCACCAATAATTGAAAATAAGCCATATACGAAGGGTACACAACATGTGATTCACTCTTAAGGGAGAGTAGTGACTGAAAAGGAGCATAAGGCCATCTTCTGGTAGTGATTTTCTGTTTCTTGAACTGGAATACATGTACATTTATGAATGGAAGTTCATTCAGCTGTGCAGTTATGATTTGTGCATTTTTCTGTATGTATGTTATTCTTCAGTAAAACAAGACTGAAGAATATGTGCTATGAGAGTTGGAGAGTAAGAAAATCACCTTAAAAATTCATGAAAAATTTACATCCTACTCATCATATATCAGCTAGTTTTAGTATGAATGTAATGTTTTAAATTACTATTGAATTAAGATAAATAAATTACTATTGAGTTAGATAATTGGTAAAAGACACAAACAGACATTTCACCAAGAGGGTATATAGATGGCACATAAGCACATGAAAAGATTTTCATCATCATTAACCATTAGGGAAATGTAAGTTAAAACCACAATGAGATATCACTATATACCTACTAGAACATCTAAAGTTAAAAATGGTGATAAACCAAATATTGGTGAGGATTCAAAGAAACTATATCTCTCATACATTGCTAGTGGGCATGTAAAAAGGTATGGCTACTCTGGAAAATAGTTTTGCGGTTTCTTTAAAAGCTAAGGATACATGTACATACAACAAAGCAATTACACTTCTTGACATTCATCCCAGTGAAATGAAAATGTACATTCACACAAAAACTTTTACACAAACGTTTGAAGAAGCTCTCTTTGTCATAGCCCCCAAATTGGAAACAATCCACATGTCCTTCAGTAGATGAATGGTTAAACAATCTGGTATATCTGTACTATGGAATACTACTGAGCAATGAAAAGGAATGAACTGTTGATGCATGTAACAACTTGAATAGATCGAGGGAAATATGCTGAGTGAAAAAAGCCAGTTTCATAAGGTTACATACTATATTATTCCATTTATATAATATTCTTGGAATGACAAAATTATAAGGATGGAGAACAGATAAGTGGCTGCCAGGTGTTTAGGATGGGAGATGGGAGAGGGATTTGAATATAAAGGGGGTAGCTTGAGGGATCCTTCTGGTAATGGAACAGTTCTGTATCTTGATGATGGTAATGGTAACACAAATCTATGCATGTGATAAAATTGCATAGAATTTTACACACACATGCAAAGAGTCACATGTAAAATTGGCAAAAATCTGATGTCCTATAGTTACATAATGTGTAATATGTAAGACACTACCATTGGGGGAAGGGTACATGGAACTTCTCTGTGCTAATTTTTCAACTTCCTCTGAATCTATAATTATTTCAAGATAAAATAATAATATTGAGTAATAGTGATATTTTAGTGTGTGGACATCTATTGGATTGTCTACTTATATTTTCTTTCAAGACATTTCCCTCCCCCTCCCTCCTCCTCCTCAGGATTGCAGTGAAAGCTGTCATTTTCAATCTAAGTTGTCCCAAATCTAGATGACAGTTGATTAGTTTAGAGGCGGGCCAGTTGGAGCCTTTTCGTGGGAAATGGCATTTGGGCTGAGAAATAACTATCTCTCTTCATGTGTCTGGACTATAATTTGCAAATTCAAGAGCTGTCAGGGTGTACTATTTTCCATCACGTGATTAGGGGAAGCAGAAGAACCTGATTGACAAACAGAAGGTGGAATGAAGCAAGTGCACAAAGGGAGGGAGAGACAGGAAAGGGAGAATCCTTTTGACATTCACCTTCCTGGCTCTTTCAGTCCAGTTTAATTTCTGTCTTTGGGTTCTGTAAGGCACCTCCTTACCTTTATAATAAATTTGCCTTGTTGTCTAAGCCAGATCCATTTGGATTTCTATTACATGCAACCATAAGGAATCCTAACCAATACATCTAGGAAGATGCACCATATTTTTCCTGTGGCTTATATATATAATACGACTTTTTTTTTAAGAAGTATGACTTGATAGTATCTAAGATAACGGTTGGTACTCCTCCATAGTATAATCACACAGGATACTCTAAAGATCATTTAACTCATTCCTCTCATTTTCAGGTGAGAAAACTACAGGTTAAGGGACTTAGCCGAAGTTATACAACCAGTTGCTAGAAGAATCAGAACCAGTACCGTATCACCTCCTTCACTTCAACATTACATGGTAAGTCCTGGAGAGAAGCATCAGGATGCTACACTGAGGGTTTTATTTGCTTTATAGCATACCAGTTTCATAACTAATGAATCACAACATTAATTAATAAGGACCTACTTGAGAGATCAAATGAATAAGGGATGGTGTATATGGATATAAATAGGTTTATAATTATAGGCATTTAATACTAAAAACATCTTTAACTTTTATCATTATTAATCATGAGGATATTCCATTTGTCATTTAAAATAGATATACATAGTCTTTTGAGATTAAAAACAAATAATTTCAGAACAGATTACTCAAACTTTTTAATTAAAATAGTAACTAGAATTGAGAAAAAAATCAAGACTATATGCAACAGGATGTAAATACTAAGTTTGACGTAAACTTCCTGAGAGGTGGATGGAGGTTTTCTCAAAAACTTCCTGCTTGGTCATAACGAAGAGCAAGGCAACTGGAACACATTAGTCTACCTTTCTCAACCTGGTCCTTACAGTTGATTAAAAATGCTGATTTGGTATTCTTCTTAACCAAAGTAGCCAAAGCACAGCACAGTGTTAACTGTATTTTGGTAGGCACCTGTAAGGTGGGAAAAAGTATTATTGAGTTTTTAAATAAAAAGGAATCTGATGAACATGTGACTTGCTGGAAAGTACAGCACAGAATAGAAAAAAAAATGGAATTTACAGCTTTCAGTTTTATGTTCCCTTAACTGAAGTACTGATCCTATCACTGCCAGCCCACTGGCTACCCAGAGTAGCTGTCTACTTTTTTATCAGAGTTGTCTGCCACTGTTGGTTGTGTCCCAGCTATTTCTGCTGGGGCTGTGGATGATAACATAGCTGTGTTCTGTGTGCATGCACTACTCTTGGTCTCCCCTAAGTTGGCAGGGTATCTTATCTTGTTAGTAATTCCTTTTAATATTTTATTTTCCAGTAGTAGGGATCCCAGCTTTACCACCACTTCAGGTGAATATGCCATTGTCCATGGCCATGATTTTCTGGAGCTGCACTCCCCTGGAGAGCAGGTACCCAATCATTCACATGCTTGAGACCTCAAAACCTTTGGGCTGGGGGAAAGAAAAAACTTTTCTAACTATACAGTTGCCCCCAAATCCATTAATCAATCAATAAAAGAAGGCTTAAAAATAAGAAAGGAAGAAAAAAAGGAAGGATTGGGGAGGAAAAAAGAATGGAAGGAAAAAAGAAAGAAAAAGAAATAAGGGCTCCCCAGACCCTTGGGATTTTTTTTTTTTTTTTGAAATAAGGTAGGAAGAGCTTCTTTGACTCTTGTCTCAAATATGTTTCTTCTAGAGTCAGTGTACAGCATCATCAACTCTACCAGTTTCACGTTCAGTTGGCTTCCCAATGTCCTCACTCCTTTCTTTGTTTTTGTTTTGTTTTGTTTTTTGATTTTTTTTTTTGTTTTTTTTTGTTTTTTGAGACAGTCTTGCTCTGTTACCCAGGCTAGAGTGCGGTGGTGTCACTATAGCTCACTGCAACCTCAAACTCCTGGACTTGAGCGATTCTCCTGCTTCAGCCTCCCGAGTAATTGGGACTACAAGTGCATGCCACTTTGCCGGGCTCATTTTTTCTATTTTTTGTAGAGACAGGGTCTCGTTCTTGCTCAGGTTGATTTTGAACTCCTGGCCTCAAGCAATCCTTCCACCTCTGCCTCCCAGAGTGGTAGGATTCCAGGTGTGAGCCATGGTGTTTGGCCCCCACTCCTTTCTGAAACATTTTCTACCTCTTCTTGGCCTGCAGCACTGTATCTTCATGGTATTGGTTTGCAATGAAATGTTGTCATGGCTGTGGCTTTGTATTAATTTTTGCATAATATTAACTTATACCCCTGAAGTCCCTGTTATGCAATTCCATCTTGCAACTCAGAAAGGCTAATAAAAGGAAAAATATATTCAATTTAATTCAGCAAAGACTTGTTAAATAGAGAGGCACACTGAAATGAATGGAAGTTCATAACCCTATAACTGGGAACCTATGATTAACATCAGACATTTGCAATTGATATATCAGAAGTACAAACAATAACTAGACACTCAATAATGACAGAATAGACCAGCTTACTGAAGTGGAAAAAAATTAAAAATTTAAAAATTTTAAAAAAAAGTAATGACAGTAGAGACTAATTCCAAATGAGATTGCTGGGATTTTAGCAAAATAAGACTTCTTTAAAAAATTACTGTTCTTTTCTTTGATGACAAAGCGAGTATCAGCTTTTATTCTTACAAGTTTGAAAAACACCAAAAAGCAGAAAGAATGAAGAAAAAAAAATCTTGCCTGAACAATCATTGCTAATATTGTAGCGTATGTCCTTTAAATGTTTTCTAACATTTCCATTTACATATACATTTCTACATATATATAACTGGGATTTTATTGTGTGTAACAGTTTGTAACATCATTTTTTTTTTTTTTTTGAGACAGAGTCTCACTTTGTTGTCCAGGCTAGAGTGAGTGCCGTGGCGTCAGCCTAGCTCACAGCAACCTCAAACTCCTGGGCTCAAGCGATCCTACTGCCTCAGCCTCCCAAGTAGCTGGGACTACAGGCATGTGCCACCATGCCCGGCTAATTTTTTACATATATATATCAGTTGGCCAATTAATTTCTTTCTATTTATAGTAGAGACGGGGTCTTGGTCTTGCTCAGGCTGGTTTTGAACTCCTGACCTTGAGCAATCCGCCCGCCTCGGCCTCCCAGAGAGCTAGGATTACAGGCATGAGCCACCGCGCCCGGCCTGTAACATCATTTTTTAACCTAACAATATGTTGTGAATATTTGCTCACATCTCGAAATATTTTTCTATACCTGATTGTCAATTCCAGAATATGGATGCTCTATATTTAGTCAATTTCCTGCTATTGGACCTTTAGGTGGTTTCCAATTTTTCAGCATTATAAACCACACTGTCATGAATTTAAATCATTTTGTAAATATTAGGTTATTTTCTTAAGTTTCTAGAAATTGAACTGCTGAGTCAAAGTATTTAAACATTTTTTTTCCTTTCTTTTTGAGACAGAATCTCACTCTTTCGTCCTGGGTAGAGTGCAGTGGCATCGTCATAGCTGACTGCAACCTCAAACTCCTAGGCTCAAGCAATCTTCTTGCCTCAGCCTCCCAAGTAGCTGAGACTACAGGCATGTGCCACCACACCAGCTAATTTTTTCTATTTTTAGTAGAGATGGGAGTCTCACGCTTGCTCAGGCTGGTTTCGAACTCCTGACCTCGAGCAATCTGCCCACCTTGCCCTCCCAGAGTGCTAGGATTACAGGCATGAGCCACCGAGCCTGGCCAAAATTTTGCTGCTTTAATGCGTATGGTACTAAGTATGTATGTATGTCTCCATTTTTTAGTGCAGTGCAGTCTATCACTGAGAAATTTCAAAGCTGTTATTTAAGATGTTAATTGTATAATTTATGGATACCATAGCTGTGTGGTTTAACCTGTTAAGACATGCTTGGAAAAGAGAACATGAGTATACTGTCACTTTATTATGAACCTATATTAGAAGATATGTAGTAATATATAGACACATACAGTAATTCCTCGATAATAATAGGGCATGTGTTATTGAAAAATATTATGTCAAACAAAACTACAGTTGATAATTTTACTTGTCTAGCACTCTCCACTCCCCACTCTTCCCCCAACTAGAATGTATACTCCATGAAGACTAGGAGCTTGTCTATCTTGTTCACTGTTGCATTCCTGTCCTGAACATTTCTGAATATTTAGTAAGAAGTATAAATATACTTGCTGAATGAATAAAAAATAGGTAATTTAAAAACATAACAAAATGGCTTTGAATTTACAAAAACACAATTAACAAAAGTCCTAGAAGACATCCCATTCTAAAACAAACTAGATTTGTCAATAGAGTTGCAAATTTAATTTAATTTCAAACTTTAAAATGATAGCATGTGTTACTAGTTCATTAACTGATATAATTAGATAGTAATAGTTAAAGCTCAGAGATGAGTAATAAAGGCAGAGTGGAATTTGTCTGGTTTTCTGAAGGGAGACCGAAAAGCCAGTAGAGACTTTTTCCATACTGGGAACACCAAAACCAGACCAGCAATGAACCCGACCCAGCCAAGGACCAATGGCCTTCAGTAAGAAAACTGTTCACCCCTCTTCAATCAGGATGGGTGTTTTTTATTGCACATGTACACTGGGACAGACAGTGGTGTCTCAGGTGGGCAGATGGGGAAGAGGCTTTCCATGCACAGCATTAAGTTTAGGTCAGAGTCGTCAGGATAGTTGTGGGACGTTGTGAGTATGACTTGCAGAATATTCACCTAAAATGTACGGATAACTGGCCCACTGTCAGGCTACACCGAGGGCTTTTCAGGTTTTGTCAGGAATGTTGGTCCCACATGCTGCAAGCTACTCAGTACAGAGTAAGATTTCTTTGGGCCTTTCCCTCACTGTCCAAAAAAAACTGACACACAAGCCTTAATTAGGGCAAGATTGTGACACCTGGGGAGCTAGGAGCCTGTGTTCCCCTGGATAAGTAGAAGGAGCACAGAAAACATGGGGGTCTAGCTTGTCAAACCCTTCTGGACCCTTTGCAAGTGGCAGGCAAAAAACACCAGTTGCTGGGCAGAATGTGAGACGCTGCCATCCCAGGTGGATGGATGATGCTGGTAGTCAAATTAGGGCAATTTGTAATACCAGGGTTAAAGATTGCCCTTGGGGTCTCATCAAACATTTGAAAAAGGGCATCAACTCATGTGGGCAGGTGTTTAAGTCTGCACAGGATGAAAAAGGAGGCAACTGCAGGGGTGACATTTCTTTTTCTGGTTTTGAGGGCTTCTCTTTAACTATTGTTTTTTCACTCTTTATCATCCAAAACTAAGGGACTAATTAACTCTGGAGGACCTGAGAAACTGATCTTTGGTAAATAGGTAACCTACACAATTTTAGGGGAATTAATTAACATATATGATAGGTTTAATGGGAGCTTACTAAGCACTCTTTTTTTCAGG